TTACATAATTTTTACATTATAATTTTTTTATAATGAAATAAGGATAATATATATGTTAATATACTTTTTGTTTGTTTACCAAAAATAAATAAATATACTTTTTGTTTTAATTATGAATTTTTTTCTAATGTATAAATATAATTTTACTCATGAAAAAATAAAACAATGACAATAGCACACAAATAACATATTCCGTCTTTAGTTTAGTATATATCTCAAAAATATAATTTTGATACAAATTAAAAATGACAAACTTTTTTTTTAAGAGATAAAAATGACAAACTTTGACCAAAACCTAATTTCCTCTATTTGAATGAGAACCAAATACACAGAAAAAGTGACCCAGGGCCTAGACTAGGAGTACGTTACGTATAACGTACACACATGTAAATTGTAAACATGTGGTGGAGCAAAAGACAGCAATGCTCCATTGTCGCTTTCTTATCAAATTGCAGTAATTTATCGACTCCTTGCTCCTGATTGAATACTTTAACCTCTTTTGGGTCAAAATCATTAAAGAAATCTATGCTTTGATTATAATGTTTATTATAATAAGGGTAGAGGACAATGATGGTGGACATACCAGACAATTAATAAAGTGTCAACCTTGAATAAATAAACAAACGCCAAACCGCATATATAATATCAGATGCAGGGGCATAGAACTTATCGCCCTTAATGGTATATTACTATATTGGTCTACTTTATATTGGTTAAAATGATGAAACAGAATCAACTAAATTGGGTAAGGGACAACATACATGACCCCTTCCATATCACGTATTAATTGATTTTTTTATTAATTATTTTTACAGCGACTTTAAACTGTCATGGCGGTTGCTGCTGTTCATTGTTAATTTATTCCCTGTGCATATATATATATATATATATATATATATATCAATGTATTCACTTATGTCGATCTCATTGTGATTGGCATGTCATTTTTGAACTTTTCACTTGTATTGGGCTTTCATTTTCAATGCTAAGTCCAAGTTTATTGAGTAATTTTCTAAAAATTCTAATTCTAGATTCTACCTCCTCTATATATTCATTAGTTGTGGGTGGATGCTAGATTAGATTGAGAGAAAATTATTTGAGAAATTTGTGAGCAAAGCTTTAAACTTTGTATTTGAGAGATCTCTAGACAGAGTTTGAGTGAAACATCTCCAGGGTAGTTTAATTATCACCATTGTTGGAGAGGTTGTGTTAACCACCACATTGGTGTATTTTGATTCTTTGTATCCATTATTTTCATAGTGGACGTTTGATTTGGACTAGGTCCCGTGGGTTTTTTACTTCTTCATTGGAGAAGATCTTTTCACGTTAAAATCTGTTTGTGTTCTCCTTCTCTCTCCTATTCGTGTTTTTTGTTTTTCCACTGCACTACCCGACCTGGTGAAGTTCAGGCCGAGGTAACTGCCGAGATCCGAGATCCAGGATCTTGTTGATTGACTTTCACGAAAAGGCTTCTTAGCCGACTTGAGGGAATCGTGTTCCCAACAACTTTTGTATTCAAAAAAATGATTTCCATAAGCATCCATATTTTGAAAGGGAAAAGTATCTCTCCTTTTAAATAACATAACTTCTATCCTTTCACTCTCACAAAGAGGTGAGACTCACACCTTTATATTTTTTTGTCCACTCTCTCTCCTCCTTTATCTATCTATTTCTCTCACTTAAAGTGACACAACTTTACATCCTTTAAAATGATACACACTTTTCCCATTTTGAAAACTAAAAATAAAATTTTAAGGTTGGCATATTTGAATTATTAAAATCTTTTCAATTCATTTTTGTGCACTTCGGATTTTGGATAATTAATAAAAAAGTAAAAGTACTAGAAGTATACATTTAAGGTCCCTCTTTTTTTATGTTGTAGGAGAATTTTTTCTCCTACTATATATACAAGATGTTATGGGTCCCACCTCTCATTAAAAAGCAAAAATAAAAAAGTTATTGCACACATTTCGATGTATCACTAGTAGGAGAAAGAATTTTCCTGTAACATGAGAATTCTTTTCCCCATACAGCTTGTAGGATGTTTTGATTTTGAAAACAAAAAAATCTCTCGTATTTTAAACCTTTTTTTTTATCTTTTGCAAAAGAAGTAGAAGGCATGAATTCGTGTTCAATTATAATACTCTTATGATTATTGTTGTTTAAAAGTTAAATAACTGCAAAATAATAATTTAGAATGAAAATATAAATTATTAATAGTCATATTGAGGTGTAAAATTCATCTATTTTTATAAATGTATAAAAAAATTGCTAAGAAAACAACGTTTATTTTTGTCTTCAAACCATATTTCATTTATCGCCATCCAAAATAAAGCCCTCGGGTGGCTGTTGCCTTATTAATACCTTGACGAACATTAATATATATAATGCGGGCTTGGAGAGTTGTTCAGATGTCCACGTACTGCATAAAGCATCCATACCGTGTTATTATTGTACACTAATACACTAATATATATTTATTGAGAAGAATCATATATATATATATATATATATATGAAAAAATATTTTCGCAGTTAATGCAGAGAAGTTATCTGCATTTATTCTCAAAACGACGTCGTTTTGGTATTGAAATCTTAAAAAATTATAAATATAAAGACTATTATAACCTTAAAATAAATTAAAATTACAAAAATATCATGATTTCTGTCCCAAAATGACGTCTTATTGACTTACTGCAGATAACCTATCTGCAGTAACTAAAAAAAACGAACCCATATATATATCATACATTATTTTCAAAAGCATATGTATCTATTTCTAAAATGTATGGCAAAATCCATACATAGATATTATATAATAAAATCATCTTTTGAGGCAATTAATATTCTTGTTCATTCAAAATTTTATGACCAGTTTAAGTGGCCATAAATTTTTTTATAAGCAAAACAATTTAATCTCAAAACTGAAAATTAATATATTTTTAAAATATATTAGGTTGGTTCAATGAGTATGGACTTTTAAAATTACTGAGCCGGACATCTTATTTAGTCTCATTTAATATAAAAATTTGCACAAAGAAGAATAAAACAAATAAATTTAAATGCATATTAAATATTTATCTATTAAAAAATCAATTTCATAATTATATATGATTTTTAAAACAATAATGCAATATATGATTAATGATCTGGGCCAATACTTAACTTCTAATGGCTATATCGTAGCCAATTTCGTCTTCGTAGCTAAATTCCCTCCTTATTAAATCACAATTTCATATTCACCTATAAATACAAGGATATACCGTACTAGTATACATCATTTCTATATATTGCACCATAATAATGTTTACATTCTGACTTAACATCAGAGTAAAGGGTATTGAATTTGGCTTGGTTCAAGGTGAAATTTAATGTTTTTAAATAATATTTTTTTTCCAAATATAATAACAATCTAAAGTAATAAGTTCCGTATTTCATTCGTGGGAGACTAGTCCCGTACCTTTGTTATATGTAATTGTCACATGTAACCATCTATATATGTTTGAAAAATAATTAACCACGATTAATTTTGTAACTGGGGATTAAACGGGACTAGCCATACAAAATTACTCATGATTTTTTTTTTATTCAAAATAAACCCCTAACTTTACTCGCATGCAACACATGACATTTCTCCATGGGGATGTGAGGGATTAATATACATGTGAATGGTGCGAGATTTATTATATTAGATTTAAAAATGATATTATTTGATAAAATTTATTTTTGACACAGAGTCGTTGTCCCGAAACATCCAACTATATTTTCATTATTATACAATAGCCGTCGACGTTGGCTTTCAGACTTTTTACGGGAAAAGGAGGTTCTTCATTACCAAGTTGATCCCCTTTGTAGGGAAACGAACCCCTATTCCTTGAAACCATACCACATTTTCGTTGGTGCTATTTGTGGTCATATTGATATCTAAAGTCTAACCAGAACAGATTTTTCAATCTTTTTGATAGCCCACGATACATTATAATATTATATGCCTAGACTGTCCACGATTTGGAGAACACTACCTTAAGAAAACTATCTTACTTATTTTGATAATGGTACTGGTAAAGCAAATTGTATTTTGGTTACGCAATTCAGGGAAATCTTCTATTAACGTAATAATTTATTTATGGTGGCATCTTTGATACCATTTAATTAAAAATAGTACTCCTATCATCTACTTTATCAATTTTATTAATACATGTTTTTTTTTTTTTATTATTATTACAAATCATTCACGCGAGACAAATCTAAGTGACAGTATATGTGAACTCTTTCTATCAAAAGTTGGAGGGAAGATACATTGCACTTCCAATCAGGAGAATTACATTACTTCAAAGTGATTGCATTTTGAATTGAATAGAGATTTAATTTTCAGAAGGAAATTTGGAACTTCGGAACTTTGGATGGAAGGATGTAGCTAAGTTAGTCATTCCCGTTTATGCACACGAGTGTGTGTCTTCTTTGATAAAAAATATTTTGTCTCTATCACCAGGGCACACCAATCACAATCTGCCATTTTGCCAAAACAAAACCCGAAACTTTTATGGGTCATTTTATACTTGAGAATTGATCAACTGATAGAGAGAGAGAGAGAGGGTACATAGACCCTTTGATATCCCCGTTCTTTTTAAGGCAAAAATCTGTTCCAACGAGAAGCCACGATTGGAACTTGGAAGATAGGGTAATGTCAATAATATCTATGATGAGATTCCCCTTTCTATCTTTTTTTTCCCCCTTTTCTTTTAGCACTGTTCTTTCAACCTAAGTACTGAGACAGTTTTTGTTTGGATAGCGATGATATATAGTGTGTAATAGGTCCGTCACATTATTCTCCCGTATACTTTATCACTATTATAAAACATTCTGTGCAAAAACAGGGAAGGGAAATTCAGGGCTTTTCTCCTCTTACTTTATTTGTTACCATTTACAACTCAAATCAGAGGAAAATCAGAAATTCACAAGAGTGAGTTGCAGCCCCTCGAAGAAAAACCACAAGGGGTGCTGCTTTAGCTTACACACACCAAAAGTAAGAAAATGAGAAAAAAAAAAAAAAGAGACATTTATAAACACATGACAGACATTCACAGAAAAGCAGAAGAAGATATTAAGCACTTTAGTAATTATTCCACATCAAACTCTCAAAACTAGTTAGAACCTCACTCTCTGGGACTCCAAGTTCTTCCATGCTCTGCAACCACGGTGGCTGATACATCCAGCCATCTAACGAGTCCATGAACACAAACTCCTTTTCAAGTTCCAGAGTCTCATCACTGTTTTCCAACCTGGGAAGCTCTATTATCTCACACAGTTCATCGGAAGCATTAGAATATGTTGTTGAAGATGGAAGCAAGTCGAACTTGTCCATGCGAGCAGCTTTTGCTGCCGCAGCTTGGACATCACGTGGAGCAAGTGATGCAGGGCGTGGCAGCAAGTTTGAAAGCTCAGGGAAGTTGAGAATGGCAGAGTCACCCTTGATGCTCAGAGCAGCTACATCGTGTGCTCTCGCTGCCATTTCTGGTGTTGGGAATGTGCCTAACCATATGCGTGATTTCTTGCGTGGTTCCCGAATTTCTGACACCCATTTGCCCCAGTTTCGCATACGAACCCCACGATACAGAGCGTGCTTGTTGGAGTCTCGAATGCGTCTTATCTTTTTGGATTCTGGGTCAACAGGGTTTTTGAGATCAGCACGTGTTGAAGGGGGATAGGATGATGATGGTGACGTTGGTGGAGATGAGTTTGAGCTGCACTCGGTCTCAGAATTCTGGGGTTCAACACTCATTGTTAAGGATTAACTGGGAGGAGGGGAAGTAAAAGAAGTGGATGGGTGTGTGTGTGTGTTTGTTTTGTTTGTGTCCAAAACCCAACCTCCAAAGATTGAGGTTTTGTTTATAAGGCAAAACAAAGTTTATTTTGGAAATAGAGTAAGGGGTGGAAGGAAGAGGCTCTCTTTGTCTTGCAAGGCATGCAAGTGAAATTGATCAGCTGTGACTTTTTTTTTTCCCCCCTCCATTACTTCCCAATGAGTCTTATAACACTTTATAAAGGTTCATAGAGGAGGAGAGGACCCACGAGAGAAAATAAGTCACCCCTTGCAAGCTCCAGCAACAAGTGGTACACAAAAATGGGTCACCCTTATTGTGCCACGCAACCTCTTTTAAGTTTGCTGATTTTCCTGTTCACTTCATGCTAGGTTTTTTTAACCAGCCTTGTGTTTTCCCCGTATAACACTGTTTATCTATCCTTGTATTCGTTCACTGTCAGAGCTATTCTGCCCCCACTTTCATTTCCATTCACTATCCCCAAGTTGCCCTTTGGTTTTGGTACAGCATAAATAGTATTTTATTCTATAAAAATACATACTTAAATTTCAGCAGCAAGTTTGGTTAGAAGAATTATATAAGGTTGACGATGAGGTGGTATGGACGCGCTAACAGTGTCATTAGGCCTCCTCTCTGTCTCTCTCTCACTCTCTGTCTCACACACACTCACACACTCTTGTGATGTCACTTCTAAGAATTTGATTTGAGGCTCTCAATTCTTTGTGTCCAACTCTCGAGTCGAAGTCGATTGTACCATCTATGTACTATGTACTATATATGTTGTAATTCATTAATACTCGGAAGTTTAAGCAATTGCATGATCACTTGATCAGAAACGGATAATTTGTGTTGTGGGAGAATGCTGCTGTGTATAACACATACACAGTACATATAACTCCGATCACCGATGCTATTCGAGAGATTTTGTAGCCAACCAATGCATGTGACTGCTTTTAAAGCTTAGTTAGTCAGGGCCAGCAATGATTTAGGTTTTTAAACCCTTCTTCGATATCTTCCCCCTTTTACCAACCATATATTATTGCCACTCGTTGAAAATGCAATAATTTCTCTGCTTGTTCGTACTCTTTTTCGGTTAATTAGTACGCAATTAATATCTTATAAAATTATTAATATAACATTATCTAATATTTTGAAATTTTAAATTGAAATAACTCCTTAAATAATTAAATTGTCACGAAAGTTCGATCTTCATTGTTCTTACTTTATAATGAAATTAGATAAATAAAAAAAATAAGTGTATGCAACACAAAAAAAATATATTAAAAAAATATAAAATTATTAATTTAACCTCACTCAACATTTTAAATTTTTGAGTTAAAATAATTCTTTTCAAGAATTTTCTTAAATTGATGGGGTTTGTTAGCATTTCTAGGAGGAATTGTTATTTTCATGCTTTGTGAATGATTCTCTTCATCTCACATCACTCATATTTCACAGTTCAAACGGTAATCTTATCGTAAAGCTATATTAAAATTTTAAAGATAAATTCACATTCATAAAGAATTTTCATATAAAAAGCACTCAATTTCATAGTACTATGGGACTACAAAATTTTTTTAAGGAGCAATTTTTTTTGAAATATTATACTTATATCTTTATTAAATGAGGAATTTTTTTTTGAAATACAAAGAGAAATAAAAAAATTTAAAATAGAAAAAAATTACCTATAATGGGTGTACTGCAATAATATTTAAAAAGAGAAATATTACTGTACTTTTGTATAAGATAACATATCTCATACTTTTTTACTTCGATTTTTATATCCCACATTTTTTTCTTTGTAACGGTAGAACCTACCTATATTTTTTCTACAACATAAAATTACTATTTTATGTGAAACGAGACTAATAAAACACTTAAAAAAAATTTCCTTTTTGTGTCCCAACCGCGTTACGCCTGTGTTGACACTTATGGTGCGCTATAGGTGGTTCCATCTTGCCACGTGCAGTTTATGAACAGCGATTTAACCCCAATAAATGAACTAACCCCACACATCAATGTGACATTGCTGTGTCAAACTTATCACAGGGTACCTTTTTATTATTAAGCTTTGACACGTTACATATCCTTGTAATTTACAGCGTCATTATTGTATTATTGCGCAAATGAAATAAGCCCATAAACTACATGACACATGTAACTATGAAATGCCGACACTTCAAACATCTTAATGTATCGTGTCTGACATTCTCTGATGCTCTAACACGTATTATAGAGATTCAAAAAAAGATTCGCATTGTGTTGTATTTTCAATTTCAACTATTAAATTCATTAAATTACGATTATCATTTTAATGAGTTTAATATAAATATTTGGGACATCTTATATTTTTTCGTAAAATTGATCACTATTATAAATTTAGTTTATTTTTTGTTAAATTATTGAATATTAAATATAATATATATTACATAAATTAAAAATATTATTTAATATCAAAATATGACATAAATTAAAAATATTATTTAATATCAAAACGTGTCCTAATATATTAAAATTTAATATTTTAAAATTAACGTGCCAAAATATTATGTCATGTCACATTGTGTTCCGTATTTCATGTATAGGTGCTACCTAGCAAATGATCATATAGTAGTCCACGGGATTGTTGTTTTATGCGTGCGTTTCGATATTTTCCTAAGTATGTGAACTCGAGACAATGAAATTGTGCCTGTTGATGGACACCTGTTTTGGACCCATAAAATTAAATTTTCAATCTACAGAGGTTTTGTATCGCAGACGGATCCATCTGCACAAATATACAAGTACTTAGGAGAGAGAGCTCTTGGAACGGAATCGCTGCCACATATTTTTTCAAAAGCTGCTCAATAGAACATAACATGTAGGGCAAAAAAAAATTTATTGTATTTTAAATAACAAATTATGAATTTATTGTTGTTTTGAAATTATTTATGCCTGTGTTGTAGTGTATCACGTCCAGGCGTTACTCATGAGAGACAGTCATCTCTAAGTTAGACGTTACTTATATAGTATTAACACGTGTCGCCAAAAATTAATATTTTAACCGTAAAACTTCTAAAGGTCATAACTTTTGACTCGAAAATTCAAATCATGTAATTCTTTTTTTGATTGTACATAACTTTTCGAGATCTACACAATAACACCTCATTTGATATATTTTATCTCTCACAATTACAATTTGAATTTGCAACAATAAGACTTTATCTTGTAAGTCGTGGTCTGAAATTAATGATGACATAAAAGTGGATTAGTCCGTCTATAAATAAGAATACTTAATGTAATAGTAAAATATATACTTTCTACCAAATGTTTGAAAAAAATAATGTATAATATTATGAGAAAAGAAAGTGCCACAATATAAAAGTGTGAGAGAGGTTGGTGAGAGTATAATGTTCTTTAAGTTGCATTACAAAATGCAAAACTTTTGATATATTGCATTAAAAATATGTTCTTATGCATTATTACAAACATATATAGCACCTCAAACCCTCTTATCAAAGCCTGTAATTGGATGCCCCTTTGACATATTTCATCTTTGTGAATAATGTTATTTCAATTTTTACTTCCTAGCATTAAGAAATAATTCTCTGAAAAATTTTCAGTGCGTAAATATCGCAAAGTTAGTGGAACTACCAATGTTACTACCAATTAGTGTTACTACCAATGTTACTACAATCAATTTCATCGTTAGATCGATTATGTTGATCCAACGGTTATACTTATTTCTATCTTTGTATGATTATGATTCCCCATATTTAATGTGAAAGCATTATATATGGACAATCATAACCATACAAAGGTGAAAATAAATATAAAGTATTAAATATGGGGAATCATGACTATACAAAGATGAAAATAAACATAATCATTGGATCAACTTAATCGATCTAACGGTGAAATTGATTGATAGTAACACTAATTGGTTGTTACAATATCCTTTCCCTTAAAATGGACCTTGTGTTTTTTCTTGAGGATGAAAAAAGGTATTTACTCTTTTTAAAAAGAAGATTGGTGCGTTTGGTGTTGGTTCCAAAATAACTCAGAGGCTTCTGGGTTTAAATGCTCTTATAGTACTATTATTGCAAATTTAAATTGTGTTTGTGAGAGATAAATATGTCAAACGAGGTGTCATTGTGTAGATCTCGAAAAGTTATGTACAATCAAAAAAAGAATTACCTGATTCGGATACCTGAGTCAATAGTTATGATCTTTTGATGTTTTACGTTAATTTGTTAATTTTTTGTGACACGTGTCAACACCATATGAGTGATGTCCAACTTAGGCGTGATTGCCTCATGGGTGATGCCTAACTTAGGCGTGACTGGTGACGCTCAATCCGGGTGTGACACACTACAATACACACGTAAATGGTTTCAAAACAGTAATAAATTTGTAATTTTTTTATTTAAAATGCAATTAATTAATTTTTTACATATATAGAGGCATGACCGCCAATCCAAGTTAGGAATACTAAATGGTTCAAGATTATTTTACATCAGTATAAATTATATTTTCAACGTTAATTATTGAGTTATTTATATCAGATATATGAGCCGTTAAATATATCATATCAATGATCAATATTAAGTATATTATACTAGTATAAGAATAATCTATTTCATTCCAAAAATAAAAATAAAAAATAGACACTACATCAAACACACTAAAACGGGACCAAAACAAGTCTAAACAAGATTTAGATTAAAAGAAAGAGAGATATTATACTTATTACCAACTAAGTTTATCATCTTTTCTTACATCTCTTGAAATCGTTCGAATAAAATAAAATTAACGGTTATTGTTTGATATAAATTTCATTTCTCTCTTGAGACACTTCCTCAACTCCCTCCCTCATCTTTCTCTTTCCATCATGTTTTACACTACTATCTAACGGTTACAAAAGATGTGATAAAATTTTGTTGGTGATAAATATAATCTTCCTCTAGAAGAAAATACCTATATGTTAAAAAATGTTTAAAATTAACAAAAAAAAGATACATAATTAATCGAAGATAATTTATATTTCAAATTTTAAAATACCTATTTTTTAAAAGGAAAGTCAATTAAAAGATTAAACTATTCTAAAATATATATATATATATATATATATTAGTTTAATATATAAGAATACTTCTATCACATTTACCACATTGGTACGTAGTCAATGGGACCCCTGATTACCAAATTAAAGACACAATAATAAACATCTTATGTAAAATAATGAGTGTGATGTTATCTCATGTTCCATTCACATCACATGCAATTGATAGCCGTAGGTTCATACTTGAAAAACTTTATGCCGCTTTTACTTGTGTATATGCCTTGGATGCAAATAATGGAGTATGAATATTTAATATGTTCGTGTACGAATCAGATAATTAATTGCTGCCTACCCTCCGTGTCTCCAAATGTGTGTTCAGAAACTCAAGTTATTCTAAATTCTACCGGTGCTGTATCGATTACTCTCAGCCTCTATATAGCACGACAGACTAAAAGTTCTTTTAAATTCCTCTTCTAATAGAAGAAAAATAAAGACCACCAAAGATCTCTCAAATTTAAGGGTAATAAAATATTATATATTTAAATGTAACGAGAAATTAAGAAATGCTAGTCAAAGAAGGTTATGATGGATACTATGGTTGTCAATCTCAATGCACTGAAGTAATAGAGGAAAGCATTTTTCATTGTCAACAAGTAGATTGGGAAAGGTGCGTAAATTGCATGCCATTATTGTATCAGTAAGTTAGAAACATGAAGAATGTTTTTAATCTAAAACAATAGTTAATTTATCTAATAGCATTTCTTCTAATATTTTTTTTACCCCGGTAAAATAAACATTATGAGGATTTCCTTCTTAAAATTTTCTTCTTCTATGACTTAAAATGAAATCATCATCGTCATCACTCTCATTGGCTTTTATGTCACCATTGTTTGATGCCAATTGCCGCATCTGTGAAGTTTCAGTTTTAGTTGGTGGCCTAGATTGCTTAACAGGGGTTCCTGTCCGAAGTTCCTTTTGCTTCCTCTGCTTCTTCTCAAATGCTTTGTTAGCTCTTTCAGGAGACAGCAACCCATGTTCCATTAACCTTCACCTTGATCTTGAAGTATGTTTGTTTACCTTTGTAATTTCTTAGCAACGTTTATTCCACATAAAAGGTAGAAAAGGACAGCAGAAGAAGACTTTAACTGAATACAAAACATCTCTTGAGCTTCTTTCTTAATGCTAAGCCCAAAGTCTACGAGGGTTCAAGAAATCATAAAACCCTAAACCTTCTTCCTCAGTTGTATAAGCATTAATTGTGAGATGGAGGTACGTGTTGAGACTCTGAAAAGAGACTTTAATTAGCATTGGATCAACTAAATTTTAATTGAATTAGCATGACCTGACCTAATATAACACACTTGGGTGAAAATTGTTGATGGACCTTTTATTGTTTTATTTCAGCTAAATAAAAGCTCAAAACTCAAGATTGAGAGAAGCCTATCAGGAACAGTCCAATTCAACAATGCATAGAGGGAAAAATAGTAAAAAGAAGAAAAAACGGATAGGAAGAGGGGCACAACCATCGTGGGTGACTCATTTCAACCTAAATCAGAAAGCTATCAAATCCTATCCCCTTTTTCATCTTCCCTCATCGAAGCATCCAGCCACATCAATCCATTTTTCATAGTTTTCAAGCCCAATACATGATCTGAACCAAACCGTTTTCACAAAATACAATTTACAAAAGAAAACCCCAATTGTTTTTGTGAACCTGAGCCAGTTACACTTCGTTGGTAAAGAGTGCGGGTGGGAAGAGAAGATGCTTGTGCAAAGGATTATCGAAGAGTGAGAGCAGAGACATGTGGCTGTTGATGCAAGGGTCACGAGGCTTTCACATGCAAAAGAAGAGGATATAAAAGAAGGAAGAGCGTCACTGTAGGGTTGTCTTCTTCTTCCTCATACTTCTTGGTTTATATTTCTTTAGAGTTTATTTTTAATTTTAGTTTTACAGTAGCATTTGATATTAGTTTTTAATTGTTATTTTCCTTTTGTTTCATTTCTGTTTTGAGCTCAACTCTTATGGGTATGAGCTAGTCCTTTTAGAGGTTGAGTTTAGGTGATACCCAAACCTCAGTGCTTGGATGAATATTTGGTTTTCTGGATTTTAATGTTTTATCTCTGTTGTTTTATCCTATTTTTGTTGTTTAAATTTTCTGCAGTCCGGCCGGATGTTAGAGGTTTATTTAGGAATTAGTTGTTGAGAAACAACTCATTCTGGACTTTGCATTAAGCTCATGGACTTGAATGAGAGATCATTCATGGGATCTCACTTCTGACATAAATGAGTCCCCCATGTAACATTGGATCTGAGTCTCAAGAGTCCTAATCCCACTTGGCATAGAGATATAGAAGTGGTTGCTTTTGGATAAAATAATTTTTAAGAGATTAAAAATTAACAAGTGAGTTCCGTTAACTGAGAATTTTTGGATGAGCAACTTGTTAATCAAATCATTCTTTCAAGCACTGTGGGGAAGGAGAACCAAAAACTCAACCTATTTTTTTAAACATTTTCACCAACTCATTTTTCTTTTCCTCTGATTTAGAATTTTTTAATCATCATCCTGTTTTATATTTTTTATAAAAAATATTTTTACATCAAAAATGAACAAAACAGTAGTTAACTTGATTTTCTAGTATTTTTCATACTTTAGAACAATTGATTAAAGGAATTAATTTAGAAAGTCTAAAAAAAAAAAGAAAACAGTAGCGTAGTCAGTGCTATTTTAGATTAGTTTTGCTTTTATGTTATTTTTATTATTTCTTTTTAGTTAGAAATTTAGTTTTAGCAATTGCACATTTTAATCAAGTCAAAAACGCCAAAAATACTTGTGGGAACGATATTAGGTCTCAAATACGCCCTATATTACTTGTTGTCGCGTATACTTGCATAACTGTTAGCAGGCAACAATACGTTAGAGAAAGAAAAAGAAAAATGGTTAATTTATGAGATTTGAGGGTTTTGAGTGAAAACCTCAAAACTTTGATTTTAAAAGCACTTCTAAGGAGAAGTTTGAGTGTTATATCTTCTCATGAAGTTTGAGAAAAAACCACCATTAATTGTTGGTGAGGTTTGAGTGTATCATTATTATTGGTGATGCATGATATTTTGTAACCCATTATTTTTATAGTAAAAGTTTGATTCTGGACTAGTGTCCCTTGGTTTTTACTTCTTCTAGGTGGAGAAGGTTTTTTTACGTTAAAATCTGTTGTATTCTTCTCTTTCTCTCTCTTCTATGTGTTTTTGGTTTGTTCGCTGCGCTGGCCGATTTGGTGATTCAGGCTGATCTCTGATTGAAGAGCCGAGCTCCTAACTGACTTCCGCAAAGGCTTCTTAGTCGAGTTTGAAGGAACCGAGTTTCCAACCACATCATCAGTTCAAATATTGCTTAAATCTTTAATGCTGAAAGAATCAAAGTGGTCTCTCCATATAGCAATTCTCTGTGTCTCAAAATAGACGCTAAGTCAGATTAGTATATTCTTCATTGCTGGTGGTTATTCAACTCTTGAATAAATTTTTGAATTACAAAAGCTATATGTGATTAGAGGAAGCAGAAAAACAAAATGGGAAGATTTAAGGACCAGAAAATGGGTCTAGCAGATGCTGCCTTGTAGGACATGAAGAGCCACAGCAATTTTCAGTTCAAATCTTTTCATAGGTCCACTTAGAGCAAAATCTAAAATCGACCCTTGCTAATTCAGTATTCAAAAATGAAACTTCTGCTCTTCATTTTTGTAGGATTAAAAATATGATACATTAAATTTCATTTTCTACACATTCCTTTAATTAAAAAAAACGAGTAAAGAAATCGTTTCCCCTTTTCCTTGAAAAAAGGCATGAAGTAAAAATGCAGACCCTTAAAAGATTGGTTACATGTATCAGTCTTCAAAGGTTAAAGTGGTCCAACATTCTCACACTAGCTTTGTCCAAAAAATTTATTGGGTAGGCTCGTTCCTACGTAGGCACTGTACTCAAAATTCAGTATGTAGATCCTAAGGGGGTCGCATGTGAGGTCCCAGGTATAATTGAAATATCAATAGATTGAGTGTGTATGTAGACACGTTGACATCCAAGAACCACTCCTTTGTCTGTCACCCTTGAGCATATACATAATACATTTAACATGTCCTTATTCAATTGATGACGTTCGCACAAGAACATAGATATTATGGCCAAATGTTTTGAAAATGCATTCTCAAAAGATTGCTGTAACGATTCCAGTTAACACTTATTACCCTTTATACTAAAAAAAAATCTAATGCACAAATGAAAGTAACAACAAATAATTATTGTATTCAACCACCAAGATTGATCTTTATGAGGAAGGAGTATAGAATTTACAAATAGCTATTGATTTCCTAATGGGATTGCTCATCTAAACTAGTGACTACCAGGATCTCCCATGTATTCACGTTAGTGTTGTCGTTTGAACACTTTTTTCGGTTCTTAGTTTGTGTAGGACTCTTCTTATGGTATGAGTTATGGTATTTAGTAACTTTCGTTTAACTTATTATTTCGTGTTACGTTTTCTGTATGTCGATAACTTCTTTTTTGTCACCATCTAGAAGTTAAGTTACGAATACATTTTAGAAGTTACCAACATAGAAAAATTAGGTTCCAAGAAAACATAGAGGTGTAATAATGAAAGTGTGCAAGTAGTATTCTTCTTAAGAGACCGAAATGTTTGCAAATTAACAAAGTTTCCTACCTTACAACCAGTCTTTAAATTTAAAAGAGATTCTGGCGGGTCTCAATGCCTCTCTGGCAATAAACAAAAACTCAAAAGCTAAGGTCAACCAAACCAAATGAAGTAACTTGTTTTTAGAAATGAACAAGGACAATATATTATCTTGTAATTGACAAAGAAAAAAAGAAAGAAAGAAACTGTTGTAATCGAGCTTTTAGATTTGATAATAGGGAATGGGTTGTTGAAACTCTTAACTAATTCTCTGTATATAAATAACAATTATATTGGTCCCATGGTCAAATATATGGGTGACAATTATTATCATGCACATGCTGCCAATGTTAGACATGAATTGGGAAGGAATGATACAAATGAATACATAGCGGTTTTTACGATCAAAGTCAATTATCAGTAACAGTATAAGTTTTTCATAAAACAATTAACTTAACTTGAGGTCATTGATTAATTAAAACTGGGGCATAGGCACATACATATCTTTTGAAAAAACAGTGCAAACATCTTAAAGCAGTCCAACCGGACACAATTTACCTAAGTGTATAACCTTATAAGCCACTAGTATTGATATACTGACGAGGAATTTGAGTAGTTTGTATTAGATTATGTGTTCAATTCTCGTCATTGTATAAAAAAAAATGTATACCCTTATAAATCTATTATGTATGACAATTGCTTTTATTTAAATTTGGAATGATGTACAAAAGTTGTCCAAAGAATCCAAGAGACATGGCTCATAAAAGCTCAAAATATAGAGCAGCATGAAGTGAAGATGACTTCAAAAATAGAATATGAACGTGATGAATAAATTTACAGCATATTTTTGTGAATTTTTCAGAGTTGTTAAAACTGCCAACTTCATGCTTGTATGTTCATTTTCTAGAAGAGGAAATGGATGGTTTAACAACTGCAAGATTGAAAGGAAACTCACCAAAATTCGGCCATTTCACTTGTTGGTATCTGTTTTGACAAGGACTCGTAGAAAATCCTCAGGGGTTCTTTCTGTCAATAGAAGGCATACAAAAATCCAAGGATGAGTAGTAATTGGTTACCATTTGTAGACATTGATTTGTAAATTACAGGAATCTATCTCAAAACCTGTTCGGGAGGATCATGTTTCTGGCCAGGCAGAGTATAGACTTTCCTCTCTCTTACTTCGTTAGTAGTTGTCTTTATTATTGTTTTGGATGATATTGCAAGTATTGATTCAACCTTCAAGTTTATGCAAAACAAAAATTAAATCCCTCCTGTATGGTTCCAGAATTTTTAAGGAAAAAAGAAAAACAGGTGAATAGTCATGTAAGACAAATCAAATGCAAGTTCTCCAAATAAATCACCATGTTTTTATTATTGGAACAATCCCATAATTCTGAACCTTAGGACGTTCTGTTGGCCACAAATACAACACAAGGTCTTAGCTTTGGAACTTGGAAGACGGTGAAGATTATGAGAGAACAGAGATCTTAAGGTGGGGACCAAATCTTCTTAGAAAGTTCTCAAATCCTGAAACAATGTTTTCACGATAACTGTGGTCGGATCATGCTCCATCAACGTGTGTGTTTATGCCCTTTCTTTAATGGAAACAGAATCAGCGTATGAAAGGAGAATTCTTTGTAAAAACCTTATGTGCTTGAGTAGGGTGAACTGTGAACTGCTTTGCATGCAGAGAAAATTCCGGAGAAAAAGGAAAGAAGAAAGATGAAGGGGAAAGATTTTCTAAAATTCTGCTTATTCATTCATTTACTCCATCGATGCATATTCAAGAGATAAGATTAAAAACAGATAAATTCTAATCCTATTCAACTGCGTAATATTCTGAAATCTAGTCCCTCTTACTAATCCTATTTATCAACTATGATATTCAAAAGTGATGATAAATTATTAGTAATATTACAGATAAAAGTCTTTGTAATATTCTGGGATGGTCTGGGTGCGTTTGGGCCTGCTAGTTTGGTCCACTACTGTTGGGTTTGGATCCGCAACAAACTGTCATAGTAAATTATTTTGACATATCATTAATTATTAATTATTAATGTATAAATAATTTATGGGTTTTATTAACCTCATGTTAAAGGTTGTGAGCTCCACCACTTGAAAAAATAAAAATAAAAGAAAAGAAAAAGATGACATAATTATCAAAGGGTGTGTAGTAGAGAAAACTTATCTCATGTAACATGAGAATAATTTTTTCCATAATTTATTGCTTTAATGATTCTCTCGAGTACAGAAATAAAAAAGATTGATGATTTTAGTAGGCTAATTTTTTATTGTGTGGGAATACCTTCAGGTTATCTATAAAAAAATATAGATTCCTTTTTTTCTTTTTCTTGTTTTTTCTTTTCTCTTTTTGAAAAAAAAAGTTATAGTTGAATGATGGCTGTAATTAGGTTAATCAACTGCTTTAGTGAAGCTCTTATGTTTGGCTTCTTTTTCTTCTTATAAGCAAAAGCTTAGCCAAACATAATTTTACAAAAGCATCATAATTTTATTTTGGTACATAATTTTTTTTTAATAGTGAAGTAAAAAGCTAAAAATTAAATGTTTCCGAAACCAGCATTTTTTAAGATATTTGTCAACTTTTTGGAGTTCTCACATTTATTTTCTAATTATACCATTATTCTAAATTTTTATTTATAAATTTTATCATTTACCTTAATAATAAATCATTTTATCGCCTTCCCTTCAAAATCCTAAGAATAACGACTTTTAGTTTTATTTTTTTAAGCTCATTTTTTAACTGTAACAAAAAATAAAATAAAATTGCCAAACAGGCTCCGTTACTTATCATTTAAGCATAAAGCAGTAAAGGTGCTTATAAAAGGAGCATTTTGTCAACTGTTATACATAAATGGTAAGAGGTAGAATAAGTGAATAGCGGCTTCATAAATTGAACAACAATTTTGTCCAAGACTTTTTTCATTTTTCTTTTTTCAATTTTGTTTCTGCTTCTGCTTCACCAATTTCTTGCCTTTGAATAAGCGATTTTCTGTTTCTGCTGTCACATAGTAAGCACTTTTATGTTTTGGCCGAATACCTCAAAAAGTATTAAAATCAATATATCTTCTCGATTTCCCAAGACGACCAATCAATAATATGCTTGACAAACTCTATTATGCTTTCTTCTTTCTGGGGATAGATATGACCCACTAGAACAAGTTCAATATTCATAGGTATTCCAGGCAATGAACTTTGTCTCTACCATCATATTGATTTTGCTTCACCTGTAAACTCGGGCAATCTACCCACCACCATCAAGTTACAAATCCTACATGATGAGTTTTCTACAAAATTGATACATGATTACGTGTAACTTATTTGGAAAAGTCTATTATACCAAATTGAATGAAGAAGCATATGAAACAAATCATACTTTACAGGTTCAGCATGCCAACAAAAATGCTCTTGTACTTTTTTCACCCTCTTGTGCATCTCTAAGTATCTTTCTTCCGAGATGGAAAGCAGTATGTTCCTCAAATTTGGGATATCTTTCTCCATGACAAACACAGCAAAAGATTCCCAGTTCAAAACTTCAAAGAAAGGAGGAATAAAATTGTCAGATATTATAACTGGAATGCACTCATAGAATATAGCCTCCACCAATCGCGGGCTATTAACTTCATGACCTCTTGCACAGATGCAGTATTTGCTGCTCTTCATGAGTTGGAGGTAGTTTGCATTACCCCTGACATGTGGCAACGGGCCAGTTATTTTCATGTCAGGTTCTTTGTTCTCCCAGTGCTTCAACAGAATAGGCCGTACATAACCATGCAAACCACCTGCGAAAAAAGCCAGGATTGGCCTCTGAGAAGGAGGGTTGCCCCCTATATTTTTGACAGGATTCTCAATTGACCTTATATATGTTTCTGGAAGAGAAACATCTTTGCCAATCTTGAATCCTACTTCAATGTCAGCGTTGCAGAGGGCTCTGATACAATTAAGCATTCGCCCTCTTGTTTCTGCAGGAGCCTGAGAAATGGTGCTTGTTAAATACTCTTCCACTGAATTACTGGTGAGACTGCTTCAACAGAAATTAATAATTCAATCATAACGGTGCAGGCATGCCCTGTGGGAAATTCTATATTCCATAGCTAATAATTTACTACTTGCAGGAATTGATATTCGTCGCGACTTAATAATGCAAATATCTTTGAGCAGGTTATACTTACCATCATTTAGGAGTTATCACCCTTACTACCTGATTAGTTATCGTTGGATCAATTCAAAATTAACTGTTGAAAAAGAAAAAAAATAGGTGCCGTTGATTTTGAATTGATCCAATGATAACTAATCAGGTAGTAAGGGTGATAAGCCTAAAATGATAGTAAGTATAACCAACCCCAGTATCTTATAGGTTATGTACTGTTAGAATTAAAGAAAACACAGGCACACACTGTAGTCCATATTGTTTATCATAACTAGCCTTAGCAAAATTGGGAAATGCATTAATCATAATCTGCATAAGCATGAAGAATCATACCCAATCATGGCAAGCAACAACAAAGTGATCTGCTCCATCAGTTCTATTCCAGAAAGGATACTTTCCAGCAATCATGTCCACATAATTTTTCATGTACTCAATTAAGTTCGAACGTCTGTGTGAATTGCGTACATAGAGAGTTAACTGCAACAATCTTGAACTGAAAGGTATGTAAAACAAGTGAGCCTTCTCAGGGTCTCCAGTGACAAACTGTTTGTTTGCTTCCATTAATTTCATGAACCATCCTTCAGATGCATATATTCCGTCCAGTAAGGGCTCGTGAAAGATTGGTCTGTCCCCATCCTGGTAGATGTAAACTTTGAGCATCTTCTCCATTAGTTCATAACTCCTGTAGACATGGTTAGTTGAATTTCTTTTAGGAAGGGCATGCACAGCAAGATACTCAACTTGTAGGGAGCAGAGAAACATATATACGATTAAATAAACAATCTGTAAACAGAGTCTTCATATCCAAGTTTGATTTTAGATGTTCTTTCAACATAATAGCATGATGTGGCCTAACTGCATATCTTTTTATATGTCATATATTCTATTAACTTAATTAGTTGAACTTGACATGGAAAACAGCTAGCTTGGTAATGACGCATGGTTTTTAAAATAAAATGTTCACTTACAGAAACTAAGGGACTGTTTGATTATTGTTTTTAAAAATAATTTTTTGGTTTTCAAAACAAAAAAACCTGTTTGGTAAGGTCTGTTTTGTAATTTTTTTTAAAAAAACTTTACCTATATTTTTGTTTTTAGAATCAACTCTAGAGAAAATATCTGGGTTGTTTTTGTTTTCTGTTTTAGAAAACACCTGTTTTCATAACTATTTTATAAAACAGTTTTAAAAACAAAAAAAATCAGAACACAATCAACAGGCCCTAAATGCTACCAAGAGTAAACTTCAAATGGTTAATTATCAAACTTAGAGACAGATACAGGTAAAAAACCCATTGGGAATATGACACTAAAGCTAGAATCATACATTTATACCAGATGCCGGCAGATCTACCTATTTCAAATGCCAGCCTTTTCTTCGAATATATTAAGATGTAATTGGTCTCTAATCAAACTATTAGATTCAGTTTACTCTTCAGAAATAAGTGGTTGATAAGTTTTCATAATAATATAATTCGGCCAGAATTTTAGCCATTTAACCACATTGCAGTGGTTTTGCTGAAGAGTAGAATCTGTGCATTGAAAACGATAATTGTTTATCATACCTTGTGAACATGGAGATATTCCTGTATAAAGGTGAGTAAAGTCTTGAATCATTCATAATGATGGGTGCATTTTCAATCTCTGATTTTGCATGCAATATTTCCAGATTAACAGCTGAAGAACTTGCTGGTTTCTACAAACATTAACAACGAGATGAATTAGAAATTTAATGATAATAATTCAATCCACACTCACTGATTTGCCCCATCATCCGATACATACCACTAGCTGGGAAGAAGCATGACTCTGCTGCAACAATAAGTTCATCTCGGAAATTGAAACAACTTTAGATGGCTTCCTTTTGGAATTCTTTGCAGTCACGGACTTACCATTATTGAATGTCAAATTACTGCCTTGCAAAGAACCTGACTTTCCATCTTTGTAGACTGCATTGGTTGTATCTGATTTCACAGAAGTTGCAGTGGATGTGAGAGATATCATGGGACTTCTTGAATCTGTTTCTGAATCTAAGGAAGTTCTGTTGGGCAATGGTACCATAGGCTGTGGTGCAAACAAGGAAGATGCAGCCCCTTGTGATGTCAAATTAACATCTTTTCCCTGAACCCTTCCCATCAGTGAACTGTCATCTGTAGTAGTAATATTGTTAAAGACAACACTATCAAGTTCTTTAGCTTTGTCTGGAGCAGGGGCGGTAATGGAACCACTGCCATTGTGAACTTCTGAACTTCTACTACCATGATCTAATTGGGAGGCCTGAGGACTACTCGCTATCTCTTCAAATGCATGAGTAGAGCTTGAAGTTGAACCATTTAGGTGTCTATTATTACCCTCCACTTTAGAATTAACCGAAGATGTATCCATTGAGAAACTAGTAATCTTGGCAGTAAGAGAAGATAACAATTTACTATTTGGAAGTTCAGAATACTGAACCACTAAAACCAGAGCTAATGTTATTCCTATGAATGAAATTAATCTCCTGGTTTCTGCCTGACACAGAAATCTAAATCCCCGATCCATGTTACAATTGCAGAAATGGAACAACCATGAAATGGAAGCAAGACTTAACTGGGGTAGTCAGAGACGGAAATTCATTGAACACCCATCATCAAATGCTCCAAAACTCCAATTTGCCGAGCATAACGATACCTTTGTGCAGAAAATTCACGATCAAGTTTCAACCTTTCTTACAGGAAGTGACCATAATTACAAATATCACCAAATGCAGCTGTTAATTGACTAACTCATCTTCTCTGGAGACGTCAGAAGAAGAAATTGAAGCAAACCCATTAAGATTAACCAAGAAAAGTCAATAACTTTTTAGTGGGGGTTTTCAATGGGAAGAAGGTAAAGGGTTGTTAATAAGGAGACACGTTTAGTGATAGATACGTTTGGTTAGGAGAAGAAAGAAGTAAGATGTAACGGAATCATAAGATCATGGATATATATAGGTAATAGATTATTGTCTTCTCTCGTACGTTAAAGAAAAAAGAAAAGAATCCAACAGGTGACATGGAAGGAAGGAAACAGAGGAATGGAAGATTGGAGTAAATTCAGGAGAGTAACGTGCAACCAGCACGCGAATAAGTCCAAGACTCAAATGTCCAAACTTCAACGATGAAATTACATTTGGGAAAAACTACATATATTTTATGGAAAAAGTTTTTACCTTTTTTTTTTTAAATGAAACAACTTATCTCCTTTCACTTTCGTAAGTAAGACTTATATTTTTATTTATTTTTTGTCAATTCTCTCTCCTCCTTCATCTATCTCTTTCTCTTTCTTAAAATAACATAACTTTATATCTTTTAAGATGACACACACTTTTCTCATATTTTATTTAGAATAAAATTTTTTATATTAAATCTTTATTAATTTACTTGAATCTAACAGTTTAAATATCTAATAAATCACAGCCACAAAGTATAAATAAAATTAACGATTAATATTAAAAGTATAATTTATTTTCTTATTTAATCATGTTCTTGTAAAATTAAACAAAAAATCAAAAAATAATTTTTTTTATACTTTGAATAAGTGAAACACACAATTAAACACCACACTTTGTGACTCCGAACCTAAATAACTTGCCATGGGCCTTGCCAAGTCCAAACTCGCACGATCACAAGATGGGCACGAAGTATATAAGATTCTGAACACATTAAATTTCAACTGTACTGCTGATCGGTGCCGACAGGGAATAAATATACAGAAATTTATTTACACCAAAAATGTACACATAAAATGACCTTAGCAATCAATAAAAATACTAATAATATATTTCTTGACACTCTCTTTTAAAACTATTTTTATTATTAAATAAAATTTCATATAACTCTTGTAAACAGAGAGAGTCATTCAAGTTATTTAAAAGGACTTGCATGAAATTTTATCTAGTAGTAAAGAAGTACTAAAAAAATATCAAAACGTTTATTAATAGACTTCTTTATCAATTATCATTAATGAATACGAGGCTACAATATCAACTTTGATTTCTATCCCTATGTTTAGCCCCAAAGGGAAAAAATATATTTTACATTAAAAAAAAAAAAAAACCATCTCTGAATCCATTGGGGCAATGTCTCTAAAGTTATCTAGCTCTTGCAGTGAAGACTCTATTGTACCAAATAGAATGAAGTATCATATGAAATATATCATACTTGACAGGGCTCCTGTGCCAAAGGAAATGCTGCTGCACCTTTTTCACTCTCATCTGCATTTGAAGATACCTCTTTTGTGGGATGGAAAGGAGTATACTCTTCAAATTTGGAATATCCTTCTCCAAAATGATAACAGCAAAGGATTCCCAATTCAAAACCTCAAAAAATGGAGGCACAAAATTGTCTGATATAATGACTGGGACACATTCATAGAAGATGGCCTCCACAACTCTTGGACTGTTGACTTCATACCCCTTTGCACAAATACAGTACTTGCTGCTCTTCATGTATTGGATGTAGTTCCTGTTGCCCTTAGACTTAGGCATTATCCCAAAGATTTTCATGTCAGGATCTTTATTTTCCCAGTGCTGCAACAGGATTGGCCGAACATAACCATGCATGCCCCCAGCAAAAAAGGCTAGAGTTTTCCTCTTTGAAGCTGGTTTTCCACCAAGGTCTCTAGTGGGATTCTGGGAATTTCGGACATACGTTTCAGGAAGAGATACGTCCTTCCCCAAGACAAAACCTTCTTTAACATCAGCATTGCATAGTGCTCTTATGCACTTAGCCATGTGCTGCTTTGTTTCTGTAGGGGCCTGCATAGTGCAGGGGTATATTCTATGAGTAAGATAAAATTGAGGAGACTAATGTGGTAGAATGTTTACCAATTCAAGTTTTTGTTTGCATACCACAGAAGTGGTAGCATTAGATGTGAAATGAGAAATAATTTGTAGTTAGTGCACCTAGCACAATGACACAGAAATGACACATTCATTGAAGTAAGGAAAAACATACCCAGTCATGGCAGGCAACAAGAAAATGATCAGCACCTCCTGTTCTGTTCCAGAAAGGATGTTTCCGGGCAATCATGTGTACATAATCATTCAGATATCGAATCAGGTTCCTATGACTATGTGAATTCTGTACATACAAAGTTTCCTCTAGCATTCGAGAACTGAAAGGTAAGTAAAACAGATGGGCCTTCTTTGGGTCTTTAGTAAGAAATCCTTTATTAGTTTCCATCAGCTTCATGAACCATCCCTCGGAAGCGTAAATTCCCAAAAGATATGGTGAATGCATTATGGGCTTAGCTCCTTCTCTATATACATATACTTTGAGAGTCTTTTCCATTAATTCACAGCTCCTGATAATTAGACAGTCACAGGATAATAAGAAGGTGAAATGAAAATTTAGCAGTACCAAATACCAATACATATATCATTGCTTCTATACATTTAGACAAATGCACATATGTGCCAATTTTTATTTTTTATAATTTTGTTTTCCTGAAGAGCGCGAGCAGACTTCTCAACATCAAGAAACGCAGCTATTTTGATAAAATTTTGTGTGAGCTAATAAAGCACTGATATTTATGTAGAGGAACATTTGTTATCACAAAACAAAAGACCAAATAGGTTGAATTGACATGGTATCAGAATGATAAATAGCAAATCTCTATCAATGTCACATTAACATTACAAGATATCCATACATTTGTAAATTGCAGGAATAGAAATTTTACTTCTAGAAGATACTTCTGGAACATTTTTTGAAACTAAAAATACCGTAATTATCAAATGATACCTCTTGAACATGGAAACATTTCGAAAAAGTGGGGCGTAAAGATTTTCAACATTATTTACAATTGGTGCATTTTCAATCTCTGATCTGGCCTGCAGTAGCTCTTGATCAACAGCGGCAGACCACCTTGGCCTCTAGAAACAGGTTAGCAACATAAGAACAGAACACAAGAATATACTATAATCTCATAAATCATAAAAAAAAAAAAATTAAACAAAATTTAAATTTTGTCATATACCATAGAATGATATGTGGCATGACTTTGAATCAATAACTTCTCCATTTCAGAGATTGATGTTATTTCTGGAACTGATATATGAGAATCTTCAGTGTCCTTAGGCACAATGATGATAGAAGAATTCTTGCCCAGTATATTGACATCATCTCGTGATGGCCTTAACCTCTCAACCTTCCCCGAATCAGTTTTGTTGGAATCATTTGATAACACTGGAGGTATAATATTTGGGCTGACTTTTGTTGGAGGACTTATAGGTGGAGTTGAATATGTTGGAGTTATTGCATGAGAAGGGGAATGCGAATTAGTATATGAACTTGCCGATGTATGTTCTGATCCAGATGTAATGTTAATATCTCTTGTCAAATTCATACCTGTAGTATTGTTATAACTGCTCAGTCCAAGATTTCCTGCTTGCTCTATTGCAGAGCCATTATCTGATATACTAATACTTTCCACTGCGGAACTTCCATCAGACTCATCAAATCCTAAAGATTTATTTGACACCGTTCCTGGTTCTGAGATGAAACCAGTTCTTGAAATAGCGTCCTTTTCATCAGACATCCTAGTTTTATTAACTATCTCAAGGGCATTTTCACCAGTAGAGTTTGCTTGACTCAAAATTGTCACATTGTTAGATATTTCGGACACAGATTGTTGATCTGAAGCTTGGAATCTACTACTTCCCGATGAGGGTATCTTCTCAGCCGATTTTAGAGGGGCTAGAACATTACCCAAACGAAGCTCAAAATACTGGAATGCTAAAATCACTACAAACGTAATACCAATAAGCCATAGCAATCTCTTTGTTTGTAGGTGAAATAAGGACACAAATTCTTGACCCATTTTGCTAAAATTACTGAACAAACTTCATTTGACTGCCAATTACCATATCAACTCTGCACATTATACCAAAATAACCCAGATCCAGTAAGAAAAAGGCAATTTCTTTATACAAGTTAAAGAAAATGGTACAAATTTAGCCGTTTCACTCCTCAGATGCACCCAATTGAAATGCATGGCGTCTCATAGAAGTGAATTCTACATATGAATTCACTTCTATGAAACAGCTATATGAATGTGTCAATTACAAAATAAATCTACCTTTTGCACATTCACTCAAAAGTCGAATGCTACTGTGATGGTTTCCGGAAAATAATTTTAGTTGAAATTTATAAAAACAACTAACCTAAGAAATACTGAGAAGAAAAGAAAAAAAGGAAGGGTAACCTACAAATTCACAGGCACAGAGGCACAGAGAAAACTACCTAGTTTCCTAATTCATTGTCAAAGTTCAAAATTCCAGAACCAGAGCAAAGGCGGTGTCCTCAAAACCCACCTCTTAATTCTGATGATACCCACATGCACCATGAAAAATTCAACCCAATCATATAAGGACTGGACAGTTCCAAATTACAGGCTCTGCATCAGTTACTTCTTATTCTTTTCCCGAAAGACATGAAAATGATGAAGAAAAACAAATAACCAAGACAGGAAAACAACATGAGAAGAAAGAATCTAAGAACTGATAACCTTACCAACAAACAAACAAACAGTATTCAACTCCTCCTCTGCTTTCCAGGGCATAGTCATACAGAACAGACAACTCGAGATGAAAAGATTCCTTGGAATTACTTCATGTTTCGTTAACTAGTAGGTATCAAGCGCCAGTTGTAAAATTGGATTCCAAGATTTTTTTTCTTTTTTATTTCTTTTTACATGTGTTTACTTTTCATACAATTTCAGAGCAACCAAACACAAAACAAGGTTTCTTCTCTTGTTTATTGTTTAATTAATTATTGTACACGTTAAAGTTGAACAAAGAAAGTGCAAGTAAAATAACGTCAAAATACCTGGCACTGATTCTGACGTCAGAGCCTCCAAGGAAGATGTTCCAAGTTTCGAAGTGACGAAGTAAAACAGAAGCTGTCTTGTTCGAACAGAAAGCTCATTAGGGTGGACCGCGATCTCTATGTTACGCACTAACGTCATCAGCAGCCAAATTTGTCTGTTTTTATTCGCTCTCTCTTTAATTAAGGACAGTAAAAATATTAAGGATTAATGTTCACACATATAAAAATATGGGGTTTTTTTTTTTACAGAGTTACTGTAACTCTCCATTAAGTTATCTGCACTTTAATACGATGTTATTTTGGGACAAAAATTATAGTGTTTTGGTAATTTTAATTTATTTCAGAATTATTATAGTCTTTATAATTATAATATTTTAATATTTTAATCTCAAAATAATGTCGTTTTAAAAATAATTGCAGATAACTTATCTGCATTAACTGGAAAAATATATTTCTGTAAAATATATAAGATTTATATTTATTTATTTTCACATGGACCCATATATTTTAATATGTGTATAGAGATAAAATTATTTATCTCTGACATGAAATATATTAATGCCAAATATTAACTCTATTTTCCAAAACAAAAAGCTATTATGTAGTACCATTACAAGCTGACATTCGTATTCAAGAAGCTTCTAATTAGTTATTTATTTTTTACAATTCTAATGTGGCTGTGGCTATGGTTGTTCTTGTGCGCAGCCAATCTTGGATGGTTAAGTATCATTTCATTAAATCCCATTAAATAATGTCAGCAAAAGATATCTTCTAGTATTCTTACTTTAATTGAACATAATTTGACTCAGTTACTGTCAACTAAATGTTTCTTCTTTTCTTTTTCTTTTTCTTTTTTTCAATTTCCATTTTATATTAACTTGCCATATGATTCTAATGCCATAAATGTTATATTGGGTAGATAATTAAATCTGAATTAAAGTTAATGATGAGAATTAGATGTTATAAAGCTTTTTGAAACTTTTTTTTTTTTTTAGGTGAATAGCTTTGAAATTTTCGTGATGCTGACTAATGTCATGAAGAAAATGAGAAAAGGGAAAACAGAGAAAAAGAAAAAAAGAATATTTCTTTGTCCTTCTTGATCAGACGGACGGTATTCTTTCTTGGCTTGTGGCGCTTGAAAATTGAAATGCCGTGATGAGTATCTTTTGCATGGTTGCTGATTTTGATCAGTTTTAAAGCGGTGGGTCCTAACTCCTGTATCCTCTTTAATTGAGTAGCTTATCATCATGTTATTTTATTCTTTTCTGATGAGATTTTCCTGTCAAGGCAGCGTGCAGTAGTACGGTATTAAAAATGTTTTTTAATACAATGGTAACGGAGTTTACTAACTTGACTGTTTATATAACTTTTTTTATTGAAAATCTTATTTAATAAAAATAGGCTATTTTGATCTATCGAACAATGCTTCTTGTCTCTTTCCTTTCTATACTTTTCTTCGTTCGAAAATCTTCCGATCATTATAAAAGTGTTAGAAATAGATTATTAAAAATTAAGCTTCTAAATTTTTGTAAATCGGAATAAATAATTTTGTTTTTTATACAAATAATTTTTTAGAGAAGGGTAAGAAAGCTTAACTAGCAGTTAGTTGGGCCAAAATTAATGGATTGGCCCAGGGAGGCAAGCGCGGAGTATCATTATCATTTTTCTGCTTGCTCCACTGTTGAACTATGAAGTTGGAGGTTGGAGTAAAATTGAGACCGCACAATACTCTTCATAGTAATGATATTTTTTATTTTCACAAATTCATCAAGATTCAAAAATACTATAGTCAATTATATTTAATGAACTCACAGACACTTATTATAAAAATAGTAACTAATAAATATTTGAAAACTCATTGATTGTACAATAATAATTCTAAAATTTGAAGTCTAACTATGCAAATACAATACTTCTGTTTTATTGTTCAACTTTTTAAGTACAGTATATGTTTCCTTTTGTTTTTTATAATGTTTTTATGTTTGATTATATGGTTCATTTTTTCTGCAGTTACTGCTGATAAGTTATCTGCAGTAAGTCAATACGACGTCGTTTTGGGGTGAAAATCATGGTGTTTTTGTAATTTTAATTTATTTTAAGATTATAATAGTCTTTATATTTATAATTTTTTGAAATTTCAATACCAAAACGACATCGTTTTGGAAATAAATGCAGATAACTTATCTGCATTAACTGCAGAAATATTTTTCCCTTGATTATAATATATCCATTATCAAGTTGGATTGCAAGGGGAATCTTAATATACTAATATAAAAAAAATTGTTTAAAGAGGCATATTCCAGTAGGTTGAAAACTCTAAATACGTCCAAAAACATGATTTCACCAACTTGCTATTTATAGAATAATAGCTACAAATAAATGGGTCTAGACTCAAGGCTCTTACCAGTTTACAAAATAATAGAGGCTTTACTTGTTTTGTTCTCCTAGTCGTGTAGTGGCTGACAACTTGACCTCTGCAATCCAAGCTTAAATAAAACCCACCGAAATCGAAGCACCATAATTAGATGTGTACAATATTAACTTTACTTTCCGTGCCATTTGAGTATATGGATTAAAGTTTCCCTTCCTGTGAATATAGACGTACCAAGCTACATTAACCAACACCTATGGCCACTTCATATAACACATTTCTAGTGAATTGCACCTTTCAGAAAAGACCCTCCTATCTCTCGGACAATTCTCCACACCACAAAGCTCTACTCTCATCTGTTTTTAAGGTATGCATATCTCTCTCTCCATGGTACAATTTTTTTTTACTATGCTTGCTAGTGAAACTGGCTGAACATGTTGTTCATTGAGCAGCCAATCATGAGAGCTCTGCCTGAAGTCCCTTTGCAAATTGATGTGCCCAAAACCATGACAAATACTGCGTCTAAATTACTTAACGCTTTTGTGGATTCATTCTTTGAATTCATTGACCAGCCATTGCTTCCATCTGAGGTACTTACATAATGAGCAAAAAATACTCTTGTTCTAGACTCTTACTTGATGCGGCGCATGCACAAAGGCACATCCCACACACACCGGAATTGATTCTCTCATGTTAAAACTTTACATGATCTGGTTATGTAAAATTTTTGTGTCTATCTCTTTCTTTATAAATGATAATTAGATCTCACCTATTTATTACATATGAAAAAACAGAAATAGATACAAAAATTTTATATAAACAAGTCACGTGAAATTTTAACATAAGAGGATCCACAGCCTCCACACACACCTTCTTTTAAATCTTTAAATTGTGTTACATTACCTATGCAGAGTAACTTTGCTCCGGTGGAGGAGTTGGGTGAAGCCATACATATAACAAGCATCCGAGGACAAATTCCTGATGATTTTCCAGAGGGTGTCTACATTAGAAATGGTGGGGACCCCTTTTAACTTTAGATATTAACGCAACATCATTTCTTGTTGAATATGATAATATAAAGAGACTAACTTTGAAACATCTTAAGCACGTAAGCATTTGTCCTTCCTTGTTGATCACTTCAAGGGTAAATAGATGCGATAAACTCCATTACCGAGGATGCAAAGTAGGGATTTTTCATTGCTTTCAATGCTTTGTATTAAAATATGGGTGACAGTTCATACAAAGTTCACATATATGTATTAGAATATGTGTGTAAGCCTACTTGCTACTTGTTTTAGCATATGTATGTAAGTTACTAATGACTACATTAATTTTGCAGGACCAAATCCACTTTTTCGAGGTCTGAAATCAACAAATTCTATCTTTGGGAGATCAAATCACATTTGGGTGGAAGGAGAGGGAATGCTTCATGCATTGTATTTTAAAAAGTCAGGTCATGGGAGTTGGACGGTCCTCTACAACAATAGGCATGTTGAAACCGAAACATACAAGCTTGAAAAACGAAGTAACAAACCATTGTTTCTACCAGCCATAGAAGGCGATTCACTGGCCATTTTGTCTGCTCATCTGCTTAACTGGGTCAGCTTACTAATCAATTTGATTCTTAGCACATTCAAAATAAGTAGACTAAGATGCTAAGAATTTGTAGTTAAAATTAGTGGACAGTGATGCAGATTTTAATAGGTTTAATCTCCAAGCCAAGGAAAGATATAATGATCTGGCTAAGATTCGCAAGTACACTTTAAAGCTAAATAGAATGCTAGTTCGTCTTAAAATCCATGCACTTATTTGGCTAACAATCAAACTCACATGTGAAGCATCAAGCAAGTGTTTGATGCCATTTTGGACTCAATTCCTAGGTAAAAAGACTCATTTAGTTACATCTTGTGGATTTAACAGTTGAGATTTGGCGAAGTAAACAAATACATTAGCAACACAAATGTCTTTGAGCATTCAGGGAAGTTTTACTCGGCTGCTGAAAGTCACATCCCACAGGAGATTGATATCTTTACTCTAAAAACTTTAAACAATTGGGATGTCAGTGGAGCCTGGAATCGACCTTTTACCAGCCATCCAAAGGTTCTTCTTTGTATAAATATTTGCAAACCTATACTCATTCTCTTTTACCACCCTACAGTTGTTTGCTCACTCTCAAATTATTTTCTTGTTCTATAACAGAAAGCTCCAAGTACAGGGGAGCTAGTTACAATAGGGGTGGAACCAACTAAACCTTTTTCTGTAGTTGGAATTATTTCTGGTACGGTTGGTCTGTATTGTAAAAGGAAAAAAAAAAAAAATTGAACAAAAATTAAGTGTATTAATTACTTGCTTCCGGTAGTGCATAATATGTATGAGATTATGACATGCTTCTTTTCCTCTCCTTTTTCAGCTGATGGAAAGAAATTGGTTCATAAAGTTGATCTCAAACTAAACAGGTGCAGTCTTTGCCACGACATTGGAGTTACAGAGAGGTAGCATTGTTAACAACTATGCTGGTTAGGAGTTATAACTTAAATTACTTACCAAAGGGTGAAACTCTGCATTGTAAAATATGTATTTTGTGGTCCTTTTTTTGCAGTTACAATGTGATCATGGATTTTCCAGTAACCATTGATCTAAACAGACTTCTTAGAGGAGGCCCGTGAGTGCATTTCCTTTTACTTGAGAACTGAATGCTTCAACTTAGAATATGATAAGGTTATAGAAAAGTTATGTGACTCAGCATCTCTTGTTTGCGTGTAGATTAATAAAGTATAATAAGGAGGAATACGCAAGGATTGGGGTAATGCCACGCTATGGTGATGCCAATTCACTCAAATGGTTTGAGGTGGAACCTAATTGCACCTTTCACATTATCAATTCTTTTGAGGATGGTGACGAGGTAAGTTACCTACAAGTAACATGTAAAGATTCTAAAAGATTTCTCATATATATGAACAAAAGGGCTGCACTAAAATTTTTAAAATATATGTGATGTGTGTCAAAAGGTTGTAGTGAGGGGCTGCAGGTCTCTTGATTCGTCAATTCCTGGACCTGACCCGAGTTCTAATGAATTTGAGTGGTTATCTCATTGTTATGAATGGCGATTGAATATGCAAACTGGGGAAGTTAAGGAGAAAGATCTCTGTGGAGCCGAAGTGGTTTATATGGATTTTCCTATGATCAATGAAAACTTCAGAGGTATTACGAATAGATATGCATACACACAAGTAGTTGATCCCATTGCAAGTTCTACTCGAGGTAACAATAGAGAGGAAAGTTTATTTATTTATTTTCTCAAGATCGAATTATAAGTAATTTTTCATATTTCCTATATAAACATTTTATAACATGGCTTTGCGATTTGGTTACTTAGACGTGCCAAAATATGGAGGCTTAGCGAAGCTCTACTTTGAAGAATCACGTGCAGAGTTCTCTATGGTAAAATAATGTTCTAACAATCCGTTTTTCTAATGGCAATTTCTTATCATAACTTGGATTTTGTGAAACAGACAGACAAAAAGCAACCTGAAGAGTCTATGAGGGTGGAATACCATATGTTTGAGAAGAATACATTTTGCAGTGGGGCTGCATTTGTCCCCAAAGATGGGGGTCTTGAAGAAGATGATGGTTGGATCATCACTTTTGTTCACAATGAAGATACTAACATATCTGAAGTGGGTTGACATTACTCTAGCATGTTATGTGTTTTGCTTAGAATTATAACGCTATTACACTAATTACCTGCTTTCAACTTGTCCTTCAGGTTCATATAATCGACACAAAGAAGTTCTCTGGTGAGACGGTTGCTAAAATTATAATGCCTCGCAGAGTTCCATATGGATTTCATGGAGCTTTCATGCCAATCTCATTTCAGACTCAGTAGCACTACGTTTTTTGTATCACCAAGATATGCCTTAAAACCTAGCAAAAAAATTAAAATAATGTTATTTAATTAAATAATTACATATTTATTGCAGTTTTGAAAAAAATTACGGATCTATTGCACTGTGACGCCTCATTGAAGCGTCTCACCCTAGGGGAAGACGCCCAAATGGGGCGTCTCTCGTGTGGCGTTGACACGTGTCACTTTTTTTTCAAAAAAAAAATTAATTTAATCATAAAACTTCTAAAGGCCATAACTTTTGACTCGAGTATCCAAATCAGGTAGTTCTTTTTTGATTCCACATAACTTTTCGAGATCTACGCAATGACATCTCATTTGATATATTTTATTTCTCATGAATGTTTTTCAAAAATAAAATTACCTAAATTAGGCGTGATTGCCTCTTGATTGAAACTCAATTTAGACGTGATTGGTGATGTGTTACGTTTTGACACGTGTTGACACATGTCACATTTTTAAACTCAGAAGCCTCTGAGTTCTGCGTTTGTGATTTAATACAAAAAATAAATCAAGATTTACCCAATGGGTGCAGCTCAGTTGGTAACTTGGCGCTGAGTTAGTGGGGTTGGATATGTGTTCGATTCTCGCTGAGTGCATTCTTGGGGAGGGGGCTGAACCTTTAGCCATCACTGTTTCCGTTCCCCCGCACTCCGGATTAGTCTCATAGCCGGCTCAAAGAGTCAAAGCTCGTGGGGATACCGGAGGGAGCCAACTCGTCTCAAAGAGATAATTAGGGTTGAGTAACTCCAAAAAAAAAAAACAAATCAAGATTTAATGTGTGATTTAAATTAAAAGTAACAATTATTATTAATAAGGAAAACAAAATAAAGATTTGATTTTTGATTTAAACTCAAATATACATATAATTTGAAAAACTATTGGTGAGAAATAAAATATATCAAATGAGATGTCATTGCGTAGATCTCAAAAAGTTATGTGGAATCAAAAAAAAAAATTACCTAATTTGGATACTCGAGTCAAAAGTTATGGCCTTTAGAAGTTTTATGATTAAATTAAATTTTTTTTTGAAAAAAAAGTGACACGTGTCAACGCCACACGAGAGACGCCCCATTTGGGCGTCTTCCCCTAGGGTGAGACGCCTCAATGAGGCGTCACATGTGACGCCCTTTTAGGGCGTCACAATGTGCAATAGATCCGTAATTTTTCCCAAAACTGCAATAAATGCGTAATTATTTAATTAAATAACATTATTTTAATTTTTTTCCCCTTAAAACCTATGGTCATATTTCTCCCCTGATCAAAAGGCAGAGGTGAAAGCAACTAGATGTATAGTGGTGTAAAGTGTAAACTACTTCATCCAAAGCTGTTCATTATTTCATAATGTGTTAATTTGGAGTTTGATCCCTAAGTTGCAGAATTATGTCATTTATAAAAAATTAAGCCATGTATTTCAAGTTGTACTATAGCATTGGAAAAAGCTAGTATATTACATTTTCCGTTTTGTTTTGGGTGTCAATTAGCACTGAAGCACTTCAGTGCTAACGAAAAGATAAATATCATTGGGAAACATGTATGTGACAGCATCAACACCTATTGGAATGAACCTAACCGCATCAGAGAGATAAACCAAACCTTAATTGCCCTAATCCCGAAAAAAGAAAAGCCTGACTTTGTCTTCCAATTTTTCCTATTGCCCTTTGCAATGTCATATCAGCAAGATCATCGTCAAATGCATGAAGCCCCTTATGTGCGAACTTGTTTCCCCAAACCAAGTTAGTTTTGTCCCAAAAAGAAATATTCATCACAATATAGTGATTGCCCAACAGCTGGTCCACTCGATGTCCAATGTGTTTCAAATATGAATGGGTATTAAAGGAGTACAAGAAATTTATTTAGAAATTGCTTTTAATTTTTTCTTAAGTTCATTAAATCTTTTTATAGTAACTTTTTTTCTACTGATAAAAAATTCTCAAAAAATGTCTTAAATATGTGTCAATTTGGGCAGCTCGGCCAAGTCTTCTATCTTTTTTTTTTTTAGAATAATAATTGGAAAAAAGGACAAAACAGCTATTACAATTAGAGTTGGCAAAACGGGTTCGGCTCGGCGAGCCAACTCGCCCAACCCGCCAAACGAGGCGGGGTGGACTGAGTTTTTCAACCCATCTCAAAAACGGAGCGGGCTCATTTTTTGGCGGGTTGATGGCGGGCATAGGCGAGCCGAGGTGGGTCAGTGTAAAATAGGCTCAGACTGGCGGGCTAACCCGCCTAACTCGCCAAATGGGGTGGGGCGGGCTGAGTTTTTCAGCCCACTTCCAAAAGCGGGGCGGGACGAGCTGGCTCATTTTTTGGCGGATTGATGGCGGGGCGGGGCGGGCCGCCCACTTTGCCACCTCTAATTACAATCTAACTAGTCTAGGTGTAGAGACACCCAATAAATCATTATGCAGCAAAGAAACACATCCCTAAGGGGGTTCGTCGTACGTGACAGTACTCCAATCTTGGGCAAGGGAGCTGTTTGCCATCCTGTCAACAACAAAATTGCTTTCTCTAAATGCATGGTTGGTGACACTCCAATCTTGGCCAAGTCTTCTATCTAGGGCAAGAGTTAAGAGCCCACAGTAACAGGCCACAACAACAATACACTCCTCGGAGCCCAGTGTTTAATTGACATATGCGGTCTATTTCTCAGCTCAAGTTGTCTTGATAAATTGATATGTTAATATCTAATAAATGTCAAATACACTATGTTTTTATAACCGAAAATATATTAAATGATGTTAAAATTGATCAAAGACATAGCATATTTTATCAAATGCAAAAGGTATTTGAGTTTTTATAATTGGATGTGATTCTGACTTAAAATTGTTTCAGTTTCAGGTTTAATAAAATGTTAAATCAGAACAATGATGGATCAATGAAGCCGTAAGAAGCCAAGACTTTGAGTAGAATGAAGAATTAAAAGACAATTTCTCATATTACAACTCGCTAGCTTGCTCGCTTCAGCGAGCAAGTCTAGTGAGCAAACCCTAATTTCAGCCTCAAGCTCGTTGACTTGCTTGCTTAAGCGAGCAAGGCTAGGTGTAACACCTCTTATATATCCGGCAATGTTATCATAATATCGTATTAAGCTGCGCTTAATTAAAAATGCGGAATTACTTTTTCTTTTCAATTATGATGCCATTAACATTACCAACTTGCTTAATAATCAATTAATAAAACAGATTCTGTATGTAATTGCAATAAAACAGCTAACTGAAATACCTTATAACATAGATAATATGAATGTGGCTCTAGTCACGGAGCTACAGCAATGTAGACCGGACCATCTAACAGTTTATACAACTCCAATCTAAAAGTACTAACGGAAAGTGTCATGGACAATCCCCATGCTCACTCAAATAAGGCAACATGCCCAACATCAGTCTCAACAACAACATATCATAAATAGCGGAAAACATAAACAGCATCCAAATCTGGTCATGCTAACATAAAGCAGTAAAACATAATCAGCTAAGCTCCGGCCTCCTGCCGCCTGAGGCATCAGTACCCATACTACCTGATCCTGAAATAAGCATTCCCCAAACGTGGGGTAAGATCTCTAATCTAGAAATCTCAGTAAGTCAGTGAGTCCTTAAGGATCTTCCACCCCAAGCTCACTTACATGTGCAATATAAGTTTAAAAGCAGTTTATCATTTATCATTTCTAAAACAATGCAATGCAGCAGATAATCATGTCAAGTGTGTCAATACTAATCTACTGGCCAGAGACAGTGCAGGTATACGTCTATCACCTACACACCGTGCAAGTACCACTTGCATTCACCCCGGTACACCGTCTTGTATGACGTTACATACTCAGGCTTCTCGTCAAGATGAAACAACACATGCATATTAAAAGCCATTACATGTAAAGTTCAATCAACATATCAAATATCCAAAAGCATGTACACAGCATGCATAAACCATACCCCCATGGGACATGGTGGAACCACAACATGGCTAAACCGAGGACACGAAAGCTTACCTCTAAGCTAGCTATCCAATGCCACAAGCTCAAAGTCCAATCACAGCAGATCACAATCTGATATAGACCAAATATAAATCAATAACATGTACCACATGCATACAAATAAAAGACAACGCCTTTTCATTATGCTTTACGTCTTAAGGCTTCTCACCAAGCCATAAGCCCTTAATCACTTGATTTTGACTTAGTTTAATTAAAACAGCAATTCAACTTCACCAATCTAGGGTCCACAAACCCCCAATAGCCTACTGTCCTCACAGCACAGCTACTGTTCTTCGAAATCCAAGAATATCCGGATATTCTGCGGGACCATATCCGGATATGCAATATCCGGATATCTCGCTGGACATATCCGGATATGCAATATCCGGATATCCAGAATCCCATATCCGGATATCTGATATCCGGATACTCAAAACCCATATCCGGATATCACATATCCGGATATTTCTCGGGCACATATCCGGATATTTCACGACAGAATGCAGAAAATGCATTTCGTGAAAATATCCTTCCAAGGTTCCATTTTTAACACTTAATTACGTTAAAGCATGCATCTTTATACTGATTAAGGTCCACACCCCAGTTGGTTACTTGATTAACCCTTTAAACATGCAAAGATCACACCTTTAATCCATTAAAACACAAGCTCAAGGTAGGTACAACTCACCAAAGCTCAAAACAAAGGTTGGAGGTGCTCTTGGAACTCACAATCAGCTCCCAAGGTGCTGACTTAAAGGGTGCACGAAAGTACCACCCAAGCAAGGATCTTTCTTCACAAAGGAAGCTCCTTGAAGCCTCACAAGCCAAGAACAACACTCCTCAACAAGAATGCCACCAAACCAGAAAACAACTCAGCTCCCACAGCCACCACAACTCAGAAAAGGTGCTCACCTTTCACTCACAAAGATGATTCCCACTCACCCAAGGTGTTTTAGTGAAGAAAAGGAGAAGAAAGGCTACAAGGGAGGTTACACAAAGGTGGAGAAGG